TTGGAAGACCAGGCTTGGTCCAATTCCGACGCAACCTCAAGGCAGGCTTGCCCCGCCTCCAGCCCTTTCGACCGCGCCTGTACCCCGCCTAGCTCTCCGGGCTCGTCGCCTAGCTAGAGTTCTCGCTATATAATGCTAGGCTCCCATTCTTGTACTTGTCACTATTATTCCTCGCACTCTCAGTGATTATTCATAACATCTGGTATCAGAGCTACTTTCTCGGTTCACTCTTCTTTCTCATAATAGTTTATTCCGAAGGTGTGGTTAACCCTGCGGGGCTGCAAAGCGGTTGTTCGTGAGCTAGAGTTAGGTTACGCAACTACGATAGCGTTTGCGCCCCCTGCGGTTTCTTACCACGGCCTTCCCCCTGCCCGAAAGGCGTAGAATTCGCATCATGTCTCAAGCCCAGCTCGACGAGGTCATGGCTTAGATGCGGGCAATGCAAGCCTAGATGGCGAGTTTAAACAGTGAAGTCGTGAGACTTCGGATAGAGAACACCGAGCTTGCCAGACACGTGGTGAAGCGCGTCAGGAGTCGCCTGGATTCGCAGAGAATGATGTCAAGCAAGAAGCCAACGACGCAGCGAGTGAAACCATCCTTGACGAACTGCACGGGAGTTGGAGCAGGACGATGTGCGCACTGTCACTGTGATGAAGATTAAGCTCGAGCCGGCCACACCGCCCTCGTTCAACCCTTCGGACAAAGCGACGACGGTACAAGGGTGGTTGTTCAGCATGGAGTTATTCTTCACGGCTGCAAGTGTGCATGCAGACGATGCATGCATTACTATAATTATGCCGTGTCGCTGCTCCGAGAACTGGCGTTGGATTGGTGGCGACGACAATTGGCGATTGGGACTCTGGCAGGCGTGAAGCAGGCGAAGGACGGACTTTGGATTCTTCCAACCAACAGGCAGAAAATATATTTGGTACGACCACGATTCGCACGTGGAAACAGTGGGGCACAGCTCTCCAAGCTCGTTTTGAGCACTCATCCGCCTCAGACGACGCTCACATGATGCTGCGCATCTGGCGGCATATGACTACTTTTCAAGATGACACTGCATCAGTCTCGGCACTTTCAGACCAAGTGGACGACCTCAGCGAAGTGGAAAGGCGGGACAAATACATCAGCGGGCTGCATTTCGATATTCAGTACGAGTTGGAGCACTCCCGGCCCAAGACGTTCGATGATGCTGTCCAGCTGGCGTCAGCACTCGATGCACTACAGCAGTGGGCAAAAAAGAACAACAGGGATGTTGGTTGTTTTTGTGGACAGTCTCCACGACCCACGATCAATGGCGTGTCTGCACCCGATGAAGTATTTCACAGGCTATGTTACAGATGTGATAAGTCGGGTCAACGAGCTAAGTAATGCCCGACGGCGCCCAAGAAGATGAAGAACGACAAGGAGAAGCCGGGAAATGGGAAAAGTCTGTAGCAGACGGCCCCCCTACTAACGAGGCTTTGTCTCCCGAACTTCAGCGTTCCCACCAAGTTGTGGTACCGATACATGCAATCGACCGCACTCAGACGAATAACGAGAGCGAAGGCAAGGTGAACGGAAAAAAAAATAAAGCTATTTGTGGATGGCGGGGCTAGTCACAGCCTGATCCATGTGACAACAGCGAAGCAGTTGAAGCTGACATTGGAGAAGTGCTTGCCCAAAATTGACGCACGACTGGTGGACGGGATGCCACTTGCGATTCAGGAACAAGCGATTTCAGATTCAGCATGCCCTTGCTGGCAACGACGCTGGACGGCTACGACATCCTTCTCGGACATGATTGGTGTAAAAATACAACCCAAGAATCGACTGGACAACTGGTGAATGTAGCGTAAAATATGCGAACGGGTGGCGCGTCCTTCCGTGCTGGCGCGGGCGGGATCCAGTGTCGACACGTGTCGACGCCATCACCCTCCAGCGCGCAGTAAATGGTGAGCTGATTTGTACGCCGTCCATCTGCACGAAGCGACAGTTGACAACAAGGCAAATGACATTGACACGCTCTGTGCTGGTGTCCCTGTCGAGCTCGCTACGCTGATTCGTCACTATCCAGATATTTTTCTGGATGACTTGCCAGCCAGATTGCCAAATGAGCGCCCCCAGGACCACAAAATTGACCTGGAACCTAGCGCGCAGCCAACCGTCAAGACACAGTGGCAGCTGACTCAGCCCGAACTCACAGAGTTGCAGAGCCAGCTGGATAACCTACTGGAGAAGGGGTTAAATCGACCCAGCACATCCCCGTTCGCAGCGCCCATTCTGTTTACGCCAAAAAAAAAACGGAGGGCTAAGAATGTGCATTGATTATCGTGCGCTGAATCGACGAACCATAAATCTCACTACCCAATCCTACGCGCGGACAATCTCCTAGACCAACTTTGCGGGGCTTGCTTCTTCTCCAAGATTGACCTGCGAGGCGATTACCATCAAATCCAAGTCTTCGTTGACGACTGCCACAAGACGGTGTTCTGAATCCGTTGCGGCAGCTACGAGTACACAGTGATGCCTTTTGGCCTTACGAACGCGCCCTCTACATTCCAGTTGACCATGAATGGCGTGTTCAGAGATCTACTCGACAAGTGTGTCATCGTCTATCTGGATGACATTCTGATCTTCAGCAAGACCAAGGAACAACACCTCAAGGACCTCGACCAGGTTTTTCAATGGCTGCAGTAGAAGCGGCTCATCACCAAGGGCTCTAAGTGCGAGTTCCTCAAATCCGAAGTGGAATTTTTGGGACATGTCGTTGGAGCGGACGACATTAAAATCAACCCGAAGAAGATCACCACCATCCGCAACTAGAAGCCGCCCACATATTTACAGGAGCTGCAGAGTTTTCTCAGGTTCGTTAATTACGTCCGGCGTTTTATCCCCGATATGGTGGGGACAACCGGATCTTTAACTGACCTGCTATGGAAGGGCACTTCATTTGAGTGGAGGGAGAGACAGCAGGCTGCTTTTGACGAACTCGGAATTTTTCTGATGTCACCACCGGTCCTCCGAATCGCTGATCCATCTCGACCGTTCGAAGTCATCATGGACGCTAACAAATTCGCCATCGGCGCAGTAGTGTTACAGGATTTCAGCGACGGACTCCAGCCAATCGTGCATGAGTCCAGGAAGTTGCTGGCAGATGAGCATAACTACCCCGTGCACGACAAAGAAATGCTCGCCATCATGCACGCATTTCGGCGTGCCCGACATGCCAGCGTATGAAGTCCTCTCGACAGCGACCAACTGGACTGCTGCAACCGCTCAAGCCACCCCAAAAGCCGTGGCAACATGTAACGATGGACTCCGTCATGGGACTTTCGGCTGGTGCAAGGGGCAACGGCGTCGTACTCGTCGTCGTCGATCGCCTGAAAAAAATGGCACATTTCGCACCCTGTCGCACGACCATCACAACCGAAGAAACAACCAAACTATTCATCTCCACTGTTGTTTGTTTGCACAGCCTACCATCGGCGATCATCAGCGACTGCGACCCCAAGTTCACGTCCAAGTTATGGCAAGAGAAATTGGAACAGTACGGCACCCGCCTACAATTTTCATCTGCCTACCACCCGCAAACCGACGGACAGACAGATTACACCAATCGGACCATGGAGCAGCTGATTCGCACCAACTGCCTCGATTCCGCAACAACGCACCATCCGCAACGACTAATCACTCGCCATTTTTCCTCAACTACGAGATGGATCCCACCGTCCCCACGACGACCAACATCGACAATCCCGTGCCCCGCTCCCAACAGTTTTTTAATGACCTAGATACCGCATAGGAAAAAGAGATTGAGTTTATTCGCAAATCCAACTGAACTGCCCGACTCTACACCGACCTTCATCGCCGAAATATTACCATGGCCGCTGGGCAACTATCCTTCTCGACACGAAGAACCTTTGCCTGCCCTTGCCGTCCAAACTCCGCCCAAGATTATGCGGGCCTTTCCGCATGGTGACACCTGTCACAACGAAATAATTACTCCCGAACGAGTGGCGCATTCACAACGCATTCCGCGTTAGCCTCCTCCAGCCCTACGTCGTTTGTACGTCAGCTATCGCACGACCAGCGACCGTCCCAAGTGTCCGCCCGATGGTTGAACCGACAGTTGAGCCGTTCCAGCTTTTGAGTCATCGCATCCGCCTTGACAGCACAGGATGCCACGTGGATTTTATTGTCCGTTGGGCCGACCGTACAAGCGAAGACGACACGTGGGTTACTTTCGACTCGCCTCAGGAACACTCGGTGCTCAAATCTTATTTGACCCGAAAAGGCGTTCCCGATATTGACCACCTTCCTTAAGAGGGGGGGTAGTGTAAGGAATTTTATTCCTTACCGGTTTGTACTACAATAGCATACACCCAAACTCTTGGAAGACTAGGCTCGATTCGATTCCGACGCAACCCCAAGGCTGGCTCGCGCCGCCTCCGGCCCTTTCGACCGCGCCTAGCCTAGCCCAGCCTAGCCCTCCAGGCTCGTCGCCTAGCTAGAGTTCTCGCTATATAATGCTAGGCTCCCATTCTTGTACTTATTATTCCACGCACTCTCAGTTATTATTCATAACAAAGAGCACTCTCCATTATTATTCGTAACACCCTTGGTTCACATGTTACCTGACCCTGATTTGTCGGCATTTCAGAACGTTTTAGGCCACTTAGCCAGTGCCAGGCAAGCATACAGCTATGATACGAATGACATGGCGTTCTCTGAGAGGTCACTAATCCGCTCTCTAGTCATCAGCGTGCTCCGCACCTGCCGCCTCCACATCATTCGCCAGTCCAGCCACCTCAGACCCCTCACCCTTCACCATTCATGAGCCCGCCAAAGACGGATGTGATCATTACTCCTGTTTTTCTCGCGACATCGACTTCGTCAACCGTCGCCTAATTTCTGCTAGAAGCTGAGTTTCGCTCACAACATACTGGTAACCCTTTCTCTACAATCCCAAGCCTTTTTTTCCTCCACCCCAACCAATCCACCATGGCTGGATTCACCAAGCTTTGACAATAACCTCCCACTGAAGCTTCAGGTTTCAACCCACTCTACCCAGCACGTCGCTACCCTCCGCCCGCCTCCATCCTTGTCCATCTCGCCGCTCGGCCCTCCTTCGCCCTGCTGTCCGGCCTCCTTCCATATACTTCTTTCCATCCCGCCCGCACGCGTTTGAAACGTCCCAAAGTCTCATCACTCTGCGGCTTTCGCGAGTCCAGCCAGCCAATGGCGGCCAGCCTCACGATGACGTCAGCCATCGCCCCCACAGCATCATCGACAGCAGCAGCACCAGCAGCAGCGGCGGAAATCAGAAACGGAGCTACCTGCAGCGCGTCCCTGTCAGTCCGCGCGCCACACTCAGTGCTGCTGGCAGGGGGGTTCCGCCGGTCCCTTGCGCCAGGGTCGCGGAAACTTTCCGCCGCTTCCGCCAACGGCGCTTCGCGTCGAGCAGCGGGGATGCGAGTAGCGCGTACTGTCCGCGCAAGCAGCGGAGACGTGCCTAACGGCACCGCAGACATCTCGCAGGGTACGTAGCGAGCTGTACAATGCGGTGCTGTAGCAACGACGGCGAGCCGTAGTAAAGCGCGTTGGGTATATTTTGTTGTGAAACGAGTTAGGTTGCAGCGCCAGCGCTCGAAAAATCAGGTATTTCGAGGCGCCGTAGAAATGCGGCCAACACGTGGGTGATATGGCAACTAAGTGTTGGCAGCGTGAACGCAAGTATGAGGCCGGGACGAAGCAGGGATGTGAGAGGCCTCAGAGCGAGCAGGCGGGGTCGCCGCCAGTGTGGCCTGTCGCACGGACCCCTGTAGACCTCACCAACTCCCCGTATGCGTGGTAGGGTTGGGAGGCACGTGTTTTGGCGCGGCCAGAAGCAGCGCTACGCCTTGGAGCCAGTCCGGTCGCTGCTGCCCTCTTGCTCCGGTTTCCTTGCAGCTTCCCTCCGCATGACCCACAGCCGTCATCATTCCCTTCCATGTCCACTACGTGATTCCCTCCATCTCTCCTCTCCCTCCCCTCCCCTCCCCACTTCCCTTTGTCTCCCCTCCCCACTTTCCCCTTCCTTCACTCAGCCTCTCACCATGAGAGGCACTTTGAGAGCCACTTTGAGGGGCACTTTCGCGCCTCCAACGGATTGCTGCAAGGCGGAAGCGCTTCCCCCGACCGTCAACCGCCTCGTTGCGCCTCACCTATCCCCCGCCTTCCCGTGCCTCCCCCGTCGCGTGCTCTACCTACTGCTAACACATCGAGAACAGAAGTCACCCGCTCGGCGCAGTTCTGCAAGGCCAACTGCCTCATTCCTCCTCCCCCATCCCCGTATGCCCACTCTCCCGCTCCCTCCCATCCCTTCCCCTCTGACAACGCGACACACGAGAGCAGACTTCACGCCATCAGCGCAGTTCTACAAGGTGGAGGCGGTCATTCGGCCGTGGCGACTGTCGCACGTGTGCGAGGTATGGTGCTGCTATAGATGGTGGGTGCTGCCATCGACGGTGGGTGCTGCCATCGACGTTTGCGCTGCAGGCAGGGTGTGATGTGCTGAAACAGTTACGTATGCTACAGACAATGCGTGCAATACCAAGCGATACCCGGCGACACGGAGTGCGCCAGTGTGCCATTTGTCGCATGTCACAGCATCATGCTACGGTCACTCACACCAGAGCCATCAATGCATCCTATGTCCTCGTATCAATGCATCTTTGCTTGTATTCTTCCCCGTAATTAACTCGCCATGTCCTCTCATTCTCGTTCTACTCTGCGTTTGCCCACTGTGATTCGCCCCTGCAAAAACCCGCCATGCACCTTTCTTGCCCCTCCCTTCCCCCCTCCCTCAAATTGCACCATGCCCCTCCCCTCTCTGTTTCTCCCCCTTTCATCTGCAGGCGCTCTTTACATCGGGTATTCGTGGCGTGACTGTATCGAATGCCAGTGTTGCCTTCTTTTGAATCAACAAAACGATCACTCCTTCCACTCCCCTCCCTCCCCTTCCCCTCCCCTTGCTCTGCAGGCGCTTTTCACAGCGGGCATTCGCGGAGTGACTGTGTCGGATGTGAGGGGCTTTGGCACTCAGGGCACGAGCAGAGAGAGGCACGCAGGTGAGATGGATTATAGTGAGGGAAGAGGCAAGCAAGTGAGATGAGATTATAGTGAATGTTATGCAAGGGGGATTGGTACGGGAGCTGGGAATATGGATCTGCTGTGTGAGACCGTAACGGGGTGAGTGGTGGTCAGGTTTGAGGTAGGGGTGGGCGTGGGGGGGAGGGGTGGGTGGGTGGGTGGGGGAGGGTATAGGGGCGAGTGGTTGTCAGGTTTCAAATTCAAGGAGGTTGGGAGAGGGGAGTTGTAAAGGACGAGCAGGGAGAGGCATACAGCTGAGACGGGACTACAACGGGAGGGATATGCATGCATACGGGGTGGATGAGATTGTAAAGGACACGGGGGCTGGAAGTAAAGGGACATGTTTCAGGGAAAAAACAGTGGGGGTCACGCTTAAGTTATTAGGAGGGTCCAGAGCGGGATTGGCTTTTGGCGGGTGTGTGAACAGGGGACAAGGCCACGGATTCATTGCTCTCCTTTGTCTCTTGCCTCTCTTCATTACCCCCCCATCCCACTCTCTCTAAGTGCCCCTCCTCTCGCTCTCTCCCGTTGACCAAACACCCGCCCTCTCACCCCTGTGCGCCCGGCCAGGGTCTGAGTTTGCAGACGACGCGCTGGTGCTCAAGTCCAAGCTGGAGGTGGTGGTGGTGTACGACCAGGTGGGTGACTTAAGAGCGTGACTCCATGGTGTGTGACTACATGGTGTGTGACTAGTGTGTGACTACATGGTGTGTATCTACATGTCGTGTGTCTACATGGCGTGTGACTACATGGCGTGTGACTACATGGTGCATGACTACATGTCGTGTGTCTACATGGCGTGTGACTACATGGCGTGTGACTACATGGTGCGTGACTACATGGCGTGTGACTACATGGTGTGTGACCAAATGCGCAATGCACAACTTTAAAGTCGAAGCTGGAGGTAGTGGTGGTGTACGACCAGGTGGGTGGATATAGTGAGCGACATAACTATCCCCAGCGTCGTCGACACAAACGCTGTGTTACCACCACTTTCAGTATTCAGACCTCGATACATCTTGTAATGATATTCAGGGTGAAAGATCATGTGCTTTTGCAACGCTGTTATGCGCACAACAAAACGTTGCATGATTCATGTTGCACGTGACTTGTGAATTGTCAAAGCATTGGCACGCATCGTGAGAGCCAGCCCTTCCAACCAAAGTTACACAATAGCATCGCTAATTCATGGTTCGGTCAATTCTGCTGACTCTTATCATCTGATTCGTCAGTTCTATTGTGTTTCACTTCCCTTGCTCCCCTCTACATCCTCACCTCCCCCTCCCTGATGGATCCCCCTAGCATCCTTCGCCCCCAGGTTGAAACAGTGATCGCCAGCTTCGACTTGAAAGGTCTCACTCAACACTATACAACCACCCTCACCTTCGCCCACAGGTGGAGACGGTGATCGCCACCGTGATCGAGGAGGCCCGCACCGGGGAGATTGGCGACGGCAAGATCTTCGGTAAGAACCACTGCCTCTGCCATGTCGCTCCCCCTGTTGTGTGCCAGGCTGTGTGAAGCATTCCACTAGTTGGCACGTTCATTTCAAATTAGTTGCAGCTGCAATCAGTTCGGTACACAGCTGTACAGTTCAGCTGCATTCAATCTTGATCGGAGCTTGTCCCTGAGATCGCCGTTTATCCATCTCTGCTTTACTACTTTCCGCATTATCACACTTCTCCATTTCATCTCTCTCCTTACAACTACCAAAGTGTTTCTCTGCTCAGTTAGTTTTATGGTGCAACATCTATGTGGCGCCCTCCCCTTTGCATCATCATATCTCATGTTATGCCATCACCTTGATCCATGCTGCCTCGTGTTGCCATCTCATAATAATTCTCCCTTCGTTCTCCGGTGTCTCTCCCTCCCAGTGTCTCCGGTGGCTGAGGTCATTCGAGTCCGTACAGGTACCGCCGTCCCCCTCCCCTTCTCCCTTGTCACATCATCCCCCAACGCCATTGCTTCCATCTCACTGATCCCAGCTGCTTCCTTGCCATATCAAAATCGTTGCAAAACAGCCGTTACCCTGCCCCTTGTCCAGTGTTTGCCTTTTTATTCTCGAGTGATTTTCCTCCCTTCTCAATTTCCATCCACGCCTCTTCTGTTCGATCACTCTCATTTCTTGCAAACCCTATTATCCCACGCTGACTCCCTGCTTGCCCTGCTGTGCGCAGGCGAGAGGGGCATAGAGGCAGAACGGATGGCGGGGGGGCGCATGGACCTGCTTGAGGCAGCTGGCAAGCGCGCCTCTTTCGTTGCTTTCGACGGTTACGAGACCTCATGAGACCTTCTGACCGACCTGATGCCAGTCAGCCCATTGGGTTCTAGAGAATATATTTCTACGTGCTCGGCATCAGCCATTATATGCAATGTGCATGTGGTCCATGTAGGCTTCAGTATTTCCATGTTTATGTGCCAAATAACAGCAATCCAAGAGCAAGTTTGACTTTTCTAGACGCGCCTGGTTATGTGTTGCATTTGTCAACTTATACATATTAGCTATGTAGAAGTTATAGGCTAGACTGAGGTATGCTTCTAGTGAGTACAACCAACTAGCATTTGTTCTAGGTTTCCACTTCTAGTCAATCATTCAGTTCTTACTTTAACATGGTATCACGCGTAGGTTAGAATCCCCCACCTACCGCTTCCGCCCGTACCCTAGCTAGGCCCCGCCGCGCGCCCCCCTCCCCCGAGGCCCCGTCGCGCCTCCTAGCCCCGTCGCGCCCCTCCTGGGCCCCGTCGCGCCTCCTGGCCCCGTCGCGCCCCTCCTGGGCCCCGTCGCGCCTCCTAGCCCTATCGCGCCCCCCCCTGGGCCCCGTTGCGCCCTGCCTTGCCCCGTCGTGCCCGCTAGGCCCGGTCGCGCCCGCTAGGCCCCGCCGCGCCCTGCCTGGCCTCGTCGCGCCCGCCTGGCCCCGTCGCCCCCTGCCTGGCCCCGTCGCGCCTTGCCTGGCCACGCCGCAACTGCCTGGCCCTGCCGCGCCTGCCTGGCCCCGCCGCGCCTGCCTGGCCCTGCCGCGCCTGCCTGGCCCCGCCGCGCCTGCTTGGCTCGTCGACGTCTACACGCGCTACACCACGGTGTTTCGTCTGGAGCGGAAGGCCGACGTGCCCGACGTTCTTCTCCCGTGGGATGTGGCTGCGCGTCTCCACCGCGGTCTCCCTGTGTTGTGTCTCCACTCTAACCGTGGCGGCGAGTTCGCCTCTGGTCGGCTTGGACAGTTCTGTCGTGCGGAGGGCATCACCCAGTCGTACACCTTGCCAGACTCGCCACAGCAGAATGGGGTTGCTGAGCGCCGCATCGGCTTGGTCATGGAGGTCGCCCGTACCTCCATGATTCATGCCGATGCCCCCCATTTTCTGTGGCCATTCGCTATTCGCTACGCTGCTCACCAGCTCAACTTGTGGCCACGCTCCCAGCGGCCGCAGGTTTCGCGGACCCTCCTTTGGACCGGGTCCCCTGGTGACGCGTCTGCGTTCCACGTCTGGGGCTGCCTTGCTCACGTTCGTGCCTCTGGCACGGACAAGCTCACAGCCCGCACCGACCACAGCACTGGTCGGCCGGTAAGAGGATTTTGCATTATCTAGCAAGTACATCATGCATGGGGCTAGTACTGGGAGGACGTTGGCCCGTGTTCCTTACTGGGCACATTGACGCTTCTTGGGCAGACGAAGCTAAAACCCTCAGGTCCTCTCAGGGCTACAGCTTTAGCCTTGGTGCAGGCGCGGTCTCGTGGAGGTCCACCCGCTCATCGTCTGTTGCATAGTCCAGCTGCAAGGCTGAGATCTACACTGGTGCCATGGTGGCACAAGAGCTCCGCTGGCTGACTTTCTTGCTCATAAACTTAGGTGAGCGGCCTAGCTCTGCCTCGGTCCTGTACGCTGACAACAGGGCCATGATCCTTCTGTGTCAGGAGCCTCTACTTGAGGGCAGAGCGAAGCACATCCAGCTGCGGTACTTCCACCTGCGCGAGCTACAGCAACGTCGCCAGGCCCGCGTAGTACACTTGGCCTCTGGTGCCAACACAACTGGTATCTTTACTAAGGCACTTGCACCTAAAGATCATCAGCGGCACTGTTTGCAGCTTGGTCTAGTTCCTGTAGCCTCTCACTTGCTAGGACCTTGATTGTGTACGTATTTTTATATACATACCTTTATGGGTGGCCTTGTGGCTTCTCTTCCAGTGGTCGGACTTGTAGTGCCGCCCTGGTTTGCCCTTTTCTTGTTTGTACTCTTGCTGACTGGACTTTGGACCCTTGCCTAAGAGGCTGGACTAGTAGCTCCACCCTGAGTTGTGTCTCGACTTCCAGGCACTGCCCCTGATCTGGCCTAGGGGGTGTGTCAAACATATTTGTATATATTATAATAGGCTAGATAGGTGCAAACTCTTAGAGGGTATAACCATTTTAAACAAATCAACATGTATGCCATATTCTTGTGATCTTTCTAGTCTGAGACTTAGCACCCTGCCGGCTCCTCGCATACCCCGCCGGCCCCTCGCGTACCCCGCCGGCCCCTCTCGTGCCTGCCAGCCCTTAGCGCCCCGCCGGCCCTTAGCGCCCCGCCGGCCCCTCACGTGCCCGACCGGCCCCTCACGTTCCCCACCGGCCCCTCGTGTCCCCGCCAGCCCTTAGCGTTCCGCTGGCCCTTAGCGCTCCGCCGGCCCTGGCGTGCCCCATTGGCCCCTCGTGTGCCCGCCGGCCTTTAGCACTCCGCTGACCTCGTTGGTCCCTTTAGCACCCCGCCAGCCCTAAGCGCTCCGCCAGCCCCTCGAGCGCCCGCTGGCCTTGGCGCCCCTCCTGGCCCTAGCGCTCTGCCGCCCCTTGGCACCCCGCCGCCCCTTTCGAGCCCCACCGTCCCATCGTGCCTCGCCGGCCTACTACGCGACTCGGGCCCTGTTCGCCCCGCTCGGCCTTCCTCTCGGTCTCCCCGCCGGAGAAATCTGCCGCCACGCCGCTGTGCCGCTGTGCCACTGTGTCGTCGTGCTGCTGTGCCGCCGTGCTGCTGTGCCAGCGTGTCGATGTGCCACCGTGGAGCTGTGACGCTGAGGTTGCATGATGGTGGATGCTGTACTCTGCCTGGACGCGGAGGGGCACGCGATCGACTTCGCCGCCTGGCTTGTCGACTTCGCCGTCACCCGACAGGTCAGCACCAGGATGGGCACTCCCTGGCTGTGCACGTTCATGGTTTGCTTCCCCGCCCCCCCGTGCCTGATCCCCTCCGTGCTGACCCCACCACTGCTGAACGTGAGGCCTTTTCTGCTGCTGCGCTTGCTCGCGCTGTTTGGGATTCCCGCGATGCCGTAGCGTAGCTAGCCATTAGTCATGCTCATCCCCTGTCTGAGCATCCGCGCTTCACTGCTGACGCGAACGCCAAGGATTTTATAGATGCAGTAGTTGAGTGCTACTCCACGCCCACCTCCGCCTCTGTTGGCCGCCGGATCCTCCCCATGCTATTCCTTGATCTTACCGCTTTCCCCACTGACGATGACCTAGCCTCTAACCTCTGTGCACTAGAGAATAGTTACCGCCTCGCTAGCACTGACACCCAGCTCACTCCCTTCCCCCCACTGTTCTGTGCTACCCTGTACCTTATTGCCATGCGCCTTTCGGACCGCTTAGCGACTGCTCGCGACCACTTCCTTAGCCAGCACCCCGGTGACCTCACCCTGACCGCCTTAGTCATCGCCCTGTCTGAGATAGAGACTCGCCAGCACACTATCGCTCAGTCAAGCGGTGTTGCGGCAGTCCTTATCCTTCAGGGCTGTGCTCCCTCCCAGTGCACGTACGCTGACATTTCAGCCGCGGTCGCTACGGCTGCCACTGCCACTGAGACCGCAACGGCGGTGTTCCCGCAGTTGCGACTGCATCGGTGCTGTCAAGGCCCCAAGGGAGGGTGCGGTGGTGGTGCTGGTGGTGGTGGTGGCGAGGACAGTGGTTCTGACGAGGGGGTTGGGGCTGGTGTCCAGGAGCAGCAACAGCCGCAGCCGATACAGCAGCAGCCGCAGCAGCTGCAGCAGCCGTAGCCTCGCCTCCCGCCAGGGTGGCCCGGAGCCTTTGGAGGTGGTGGCTGCGGTGGCGGTCCTCGCAGCTCGGCATCTACTGGCAACTTCGGTGCTGTGAGCTGCCGCTCGCAATCGACCACCCGCTGCTTCCGCCGCCTTGACGACCTCTTTCATCGCCACGTCCTCTTGCTCCTAGACTGGCCCAGTCTGCTGCGCCACGGTGTGCCTGTCTTTGTGTTAGACATGGATCACTGAAGTTCTGCCCTGCATTATCTGTATGCTGATGCTTCTAGTGTGTCCGGATCTTATTACCCTGTGTTATCTAGTTTAGGCGCAGTATCTATGTGTAGTACAGACTCCCGTAGCTATACTACCCTTCCCTGTCCACCAATTCCCTCGGGTTCGCTTACAGGCCTGCGCATCTCTTCGTTCTCCAGGAACCTAGTTGGTGTCGGCTTTCTTCAAGACCTCGGTGTCACCACTACGTTCCCTGGTCATGAGCGGTATGCTGTCTGTACCGAGGCCACCTCAGGTGCCCCCCTTGCGACGTTCCCCGGGGACACTGCTTCCCCCCCGGGGGCGCGTCCTCCCGGGGTCCTGCGTCTACCCAGGTCGCTGCGGTTTGCTCGCATCAGTCGCTCACTCACCCGTCACTTCCGTGGCACCACTGCCTAGGTCACCCTGCACTCCCGCGTCTGCATCACATGTCTCAGCACGGTCTCGTCCTAGGCCTCCCCACGTCACTCCCTGCCCTCCCTCCCTCGCCTGTGCCGCCGTGCACGCCCTGCTTCGAGGGCCGCCTGCGCTATGCTCCTCACTCCTCCTCGCTTCGCCCTGCCATCGCACCACTCCAGACCCTGCACCCGGACGTCTGGGGCGCAGCCCCCGTCCCTGGGCCGCATCGTGAGCGCTACTTTCTCGTGCTCGTTGATGCCTAGATGCGCTACACCATGCTGTTTCCCCTGGAGTGGAAGGCCGACGTGCCTGACGTTCTAATCCCGTGGGTCGTAGCCGCGTGCCTCCACCGCTGTCTCCCTGTGTTGTGTCTCCACTCCGACCGTGGCAGCGAGTTCGCATCTGGTCGGCTTGGATAGTTCCCTGTGTTGTGTCTCCACTCCGACCGTGGCAGCGAGTTCGCATCTGGTCGGCTTGGATAGTTATGTCGTGTGGAGGGCATCACCCAGTCGTACAACCTACCGGATTCCCCGCAGCAGAATGGGGTTGCTGAGCGACGCATCCGTTTTGGTCATGGAGGTGGCTCGTACCTCCATGATCCATACTGGTGCATCCCATTTTCTATGGCCGTTCGCCGTTCGCTACGCCGCTCACTAGCTTAACATGTGGCCGCACTTCCAGCGGCCGGAGGTTTCGCCGACCCTTCTTTGGACCGGGTTCCCTGGTGACACGTCCGCGTTCCACGTCCGGGGCTGCCTTGCTCACGTTCGTGCCTCCGGCACGGACAAGCTTACTGCCCGCAGTGTCCCTTGTGTCTTCCTCGGTTTCCCCCTTGACTCGTCTGACTGGCACTTTTACCACCCGCCGTCTCACCGCTTCTTTCACTCCTGTCATGCCACTTTCGACGAGTTT